AACGCCCAACATGGCTAGAAAACTAAAACTGAACCAAAAACAAAAAGAAAAAAGAAAAGGAAAAAAAAGAGAGTTTTAATGGAATGGGTGAAGGAAGAAATATCAGAGGTCGGACGTGGATGGCCGGTCGCCAGCTTCGTGGGGATATATAGGTCGCGAGGAGGGTATTATGGTCATTTCAGCGTTGTGTTTTATTTTATTTTATTTTTTAGTTTTGGTTTGTAATTTCCTACCGGTGGGGTGGAAAAAAATTGAAGGGGTAAGGAGCCAGGTGTAGGAGGAGATAGAAATGTGGCGGGCGGGACCCACCTGCTGGCGATGATTCCTGGGCACCCGAATGATGACGTGGACGAATCACCGGGCCCCACCGCCAATCTTTTTTTCATTATTCTTATTTCAAAAACACATAGGTAGCAAGCACCTGTATCTCCCGACCCAGCACTCGACTTGGATCCAAGACTTTATGATAGGGTTGATTATCGATTCGTCGGGGTCGATTTTTTGCCACTTTATTATTGAAAACCGATACGGTAGGTTTTCAAATCTGAAAACCGATGATTTTTCAGTATGCACTAATCGATCGACTGATTTATAAGTTAAATCGACAGTGATTTATTTATTTTTAATTAATTTGACTCATTTTTATTTTTTCTATTCAAATTCTCTTCTATATATGTACTATGCAGTGTTTTTTCAATTTTTATTACTATTTTCACTCAAATTTTCTTCTATATAGTATTTTTCCTTATTTACTAGACATTTTAAACGGATCAATAATCATTATTGAGTAGGAAAGTAATATATGTTTTAAAAAAATTTAAAATACATATTGGACTAATAGTATATCACTACGTAGTACATATTAGTTCTTATCCAAATGTAAAATACATAGTAGTTTTAATTCAAATCATAAGTCCAAATATTTAATGTAATTATAAAATATTAAAATGTAATTTTTTAAAATTTTGATTTTTCAGAACCAACAAGCGAACTGTCTATCAAAAAAAAAAATTCAATCGACCGACGTGTTTTCGATCGGTCAACTCAGTTTTTCAATTCATATGTTCACCCTTACTTTATTGATAAATGATACCACAAGACTCAAGACTCCTACCATTACAATCATATAAATTTTATAAATCAAAACGATGTAAAATAAATTTATAGCTAATCTAAATATAATTAAGGTATTTGTAATCTATCCAATAGGTTATAAGTTTGAAGCTTTACATTTTTAATATTTGTATTTTCTTTTTTTTTTTTACTCAAATTATGTGATAGATGGAGAGAGAAATATCTAATTTCTTTTTTTTATATATAAATAAAATTGATTGATTTAGTTTTGCTTTATTTCTACAACTTCTATTTTCAGAGCAATCTGCTTGGCTGTTATATATTAAAAGGAAACTTTCAAATAAAAAGATGCTTCGAACTATTTGTGTTTGTGCTGTGTCAAATTGTGAAACTTTATTGTATTTTAAAGTTTTGGTTCAAGATTTTGTTGGATGGCTTCAAGAAAAAAATTGCTGAAAATAAATTAATCATAGCTATAGAATCAGAAGTATTATTAATTATTGATCTCATTCTTCTCATTAACGGTTTTTAGAACTTTAAATTACGCTATTAATTTAATTTTTACTCTTTTAAACTTGTTATATTGAACTCTAAATTGATAAAATTAATGCACTCAATTAATTATTTTTTCATTTTTTACGATCTATAATTAATTATGAAAATTTGTGTAGTTATATGATATTATATTTTAGGTATTGATTATCCTAATCGTGTTTGATGTGTTTTTAAATCAAGTTTGAGCATGTCAAAGTAAGTCTAACTCAATAATGGAGATCAATTTCATGGGGATAAAGAATAAAAGTTTCTAATAGTTTTGTTAGCTTAAATTAAGATGTCATTATAAAATTTATTAGGGAGTTAATCAAATTAATTTTAAATATACTTTCGTTCACGGTTGCATTTATGCTTTCCATTGATATCAACTCCACGTGTAAGCTAAATTGGCTTCTATACGAGATGATAATTATAATTTAATAATTCATTAAATTCTCTTGGTATATATGATATTAAATTTATGTGAAAAATGGCAAAGTATTAAAGTTAGGTTTCCTCTTTTTAGGGACAACAAATATGAGGTGAAAAATTAAACTTTCTTAGTGCATTTAAGTCTCATTAGAAAATAGCTTTAATTTTAGTATTTTTGTATTTTTGAAAACTTCAAAGATTATTTAATACATTTATTTGCTTTGGTTATTGGTCACTTTTTTAAACACACGTTTTAAAAAAACTCATAGTTAAATAAATAAAAATCAAAATAGATAATTTAAATAAAAGTAGTTAGAAAAGGATCTCAAAATCTTAAAAGAAAAATAAAACCCTATTATCAATATTCAATATAAGACATGATAATGTGACGATATACCACTTTAGAACAAGCTTATAAGTGATTTTGACATGGTCACTGGCACAGCCCTCACGACTTTGTTTTTTGTTTCACCCAAAAGGCCTTATACCAATAGAAATAATTGTCCTCTCTTATATACCCACAATCATTTTCTTCCCTAGCCAGTGTGAGATTTTGTTTGCAATCACCTTACAAACCCAATACCCATTTTCTCAAATTCTCGTTACTCCACTAGGTTAATCACTAATGTCATATACTAAAATGTTATTTTATGCAAAGTTTTTCTAAATTTAGTTAAAAATAAAATAAATATGAGAACTGTCAAAACGAGCATAGTTCAATAGTATTTGACATATATCTCAAATTAAAAGATTGTGAGTTCGATCTCACTCCACATGTTGTACTAATAAATAAATAAATAAATAAATATAATATATATATATATATATATATATATATATATATATATATATGAGAATTTAGGATTAAAATAATATTTAAATGATTTCTAGGAAATTTTTATGAATATATACCTTTTTTTTTAGTTATACACGCAAGTGTGTAGATGTGACTATCAAGTTGCATAAGCAATATTAAATAAATTTTGGTATTTATGACTAAGCAAATTAAACAAGTTTTAGGAGACAAAGTAATTTGGATAAGAATCAAACAACATGCTTTGTTGGGGAAAAGGACAAGCATAGTTGCGTGTAAGTGCTGAACTTTCTTCACTGAAAATTTAAAAGCCAATGCCAATTGGCCACGTGGCTGCTCTGGTGGTAGAATTTAGAGTACAAAAAACCACCTTGTATTCGAATATTTCCAAAATTAATTCAAAATAGTAACGAATCTGCAAAATAGAGAGAGAGAGAGAGAGAGAGAGAGAGAACTACACAATTGAAATAGAATTGCGATTATGAATTAACTTTCAATCTAAATATAGTTGAGTAAATAAAGAAATTAAAAGTGGTTAATTAAATCCCAACTAAAATCATTCTTCTTCTTAGTGTAATACATAATATGGAGTCGAAGATTGAACTATTGACCTCTAAAAATTCAACAACATGTTTAAGGGTCATACTTATGTCAGTCGTCAATTAAAATATCTTTTTCTTTTTTTAGTTTTATTCAATTTATTAACATTTAGTAACATCTTTTTGTTAAGTAGATAATTCTTTTTTTTTTCTGAACTGTTGAATCTATAATT